TGAGTATAGTCTCCTCGCAGAGCACAACCACCGCAAACATAGCCAACCCGTACAGCATTCCCGGTGCCATCAGACCCCACGCCCTCCACAGTCTCGTGCCGTGCAGTTTGCGGTCATATCTCCAGACATACCTCGTTCTCAATGTGTTCCTAATGAGTGATGCATTTAATATTTGCATTATTAAATGTACACTGGTACAGTGGAGCAAATATTACAATAACTGCAATCAAATGTAAATTTTGATACTTTTTTTAATTACTTTTTCTCAAATACTGTATTTACACACAAAAAAAACTTGTCAAACAAAATATAAATTCAATGTTTTGGAAATATAATGATTAAAAACTTTTAAATTCAATCCAAATGATTGTATCCAAAAAGTTGGTCACAATTAGTGCATGAATTAGAGCCCAAAGGGCATCGAGTGGTGATCATAGCCTGAAGAGGTCGATCTCAGTGGGCACTTGTATCCATTGCCCCAGATTTTGTTCCTGAAACGCCTGCATACACAGAGTCTTCGCCCTCTGGTACTCGTGAGCCGATGTCTTGCCGTCTCTGTAGACGATCGGAATGTTTTGACCCAAAGAACAGGTGGGAAGAGTGGCTGTGTTTCGGCCCAAAAGAGCGCAGAGTCGGCCAAACAGTGACCGTTTGGCCAAACGAGACACACCGGTGCTATCGCCGTGAATGCGTCCGCTTTCGGTGGACACCAGTTCTGGTATGTCGTCCCCTTTAATCCAATTGAGCGCATAGTTGGGCGCTTTTGTTAACTATATTCGCGAAACAAATAATTGTTAAGTTATGTGGACTCAAGTGGTGACGAGTAGTGCTAACCTGTCGGGTGATGTCCTCTTTAAGCTGACATTTGGCTACTTTAGACTTATTGAGGGCATAGGTCTCCGGCATGTCTTTCAGTGAATTGGAGTCGTAATTGAGATTAAGTCGGGAGTGAAGGGCGCGAACCAAATGCTCATAATTGAAGAGTGAGGCCAACACTACGGACTCGAGATATACGGGCTCTATATAGTGACTCAATAGAGCGCCCTATCATTCATAGGCATAACAAACACATTTACATTCAATTCAATGCAATCGACAATTGATGGCAAACCTGTATTCCGACGACATTCCAAACGGCAATCTTATCGGAACAGGACATGAACTGTAGCCTTTGATGGCCCTGAAGTATGCCGTCCCACGTCAGAATGGCGTCCCTCTTGACAGGTATAGTTCCCTCTCCGCCCTCGATCTTAGCTCTCAACAAACCTCTGGTCTGTCTGTTGGGGTGAGCGTCGCCTTCCTATTACGCGTACAATAAGCAAGTTATGAGCAGTCAATACAAAATGCTAGTCATGTCTGTCGTCTCTCACCTCCTCTTTGGGA